CTTCCCACTCATCTCTTACTCATATTTTATTTTTTGTATTTTTGGGTTATTACAGAAAAGTGCTCTACATATAGTAACTGTTAAACCATGTCAGTTCGTATTCATTAGAATTTAATTTTGATGTATCCACTAATAATTTAATATAAAAACCTTAATATTTATCAAAATCATGTTTTGCAGTAATGTAATGATAAATTTGTTACTAATAAAGTACGTAGTAATTTGTTTATATTAAAGCATTAGAATTTATGTTTTTTCTTGCGGAAGACTACCCACCCGAGAAAAAGAAAACTTGTACGTCGCTAAAACATAAGGGTTGGGAAACACGGCAATTTTATCAATTAATTATCCCATTTGGATGGTGTTAGGTAAATTGAGTCATGGGCTGCAGGCTTATTATCTGATTTATTTTCAATGATAAAATATCAATGTAATCTTTGATTTTGCTTAATTAAGATACATAAATAATATTATATTCAGAATATTATTGTGTATCAGTTTACACCGATTTTTATGATTTTTTTTTTTTTTTTGTTATTTTGCGATTATATACTAGATACTTATATCTCAGCTGATACTTAATTTTCCCCAAATATTTGGTTTAAATTTTCTGTTACCATCGTGCATAAAACCAATAGCTGTGAATCATATCAATCACGATTAAACCATTGATTTTACAGCCCATATCCTAATATTATTAACTTTGTGGACGAATTATTAGAAATACAGTTAGAGACACAAGTAAAATTACGAAGTACAAACCAAAAAAATAAATGTATGCTCGATAAAGAACTCAACCTAAGGGAGCAAATAACAAAGTATACCAATAATATGAAAATCATGAATTTTTTCAATCCATATGATTTAAATTTTTACCAAGTGCATAATTTAAAATGTATTAATTTTTTATATTTTACAACATACATGTTATTAATTAATAATTACTCTTTTTTTTTATATATTATCAATAAAACTAATTTGTTCTTGCTGGGGGACCAAATTTACCTTTTTTTTCCCGGGATTCAACTAACCTATTACCTACTTTATATACCTATAAAAGACAATTTAAGAACCAATTTACCAACTCCCATTCAAATTATTGTGAATAATAATAATTGTATGTGATATTTTTAAAATGCTCTTTACCAAAAAATTTTAGGGCTACGGTATGAAATGAAATAAACAAAAATAATAACCAACACCAGATTTGGACAACATTTTATCTAGATAATTATTCGAATAAATATGTAAATATGTCTTCGATTATTCAAATAAAACATTATTCGAATATATTTGAAAATATTATTGTTCAAATAAAACATTATTGAAAACTATTTGAAAATATTATTATTATTATTATTTTTTTTTTTTTTTTTGTAACATTCAAAAGCTCAATGTACCTGATAATTCTTGCTTTTCGATTAAAAATTGGTTTTTCAAGGCCTTATTATATAGAAAAAAAAAATTAAAGGTACCTATATACTTTTGGAAAAATAGGTAACGTATTGGCACCTTAATTTAAGATATAGCCGTTCAAAATATTGACTTTCAATGGTTTGGTGGAACACGATTGTGTACATTTATTTTTTTCGGCCACACGATTGCGTATAAAATTGTATGCAACGTTGTCAAATTTACTAATTTCACCGTATCATACCTAATAAATATAGAATACATATACTAAAATAATAATAAATTATAACAGTTCTATTATAGTTCATAAAAAAAAATAATAATAAAATGATAAATAAAATGAGGATAACTAAATAAAAGAAAAGTCATTAATAAATAAATAAAATCGACAGTTTTTATATTAATGAAATTATTGTTAATAAATTATTTGAAAATGCTTACGTTTGGATTCTCAGACATCTATAACATACTACTATTACTGAAACTCGAAAAATACCGTATAATATAAACGGAAATAACGAAATTCGTTATATCTGATATATTTGATATCATTAGCAATAAACATAGCTAATAAAAGTGATAAAACACAAAGTATTTATTATCATTTTCAAGTTTACTCGTATAGACTCGCACACACCAATACCAGTATGAAAATTGGCATCAACCCTTAAAACTTTATTCGCAATTGTGTGGTTAAAAATCAGGTAAAACCGTACAGAATCGTGTAGCTTAAAATGGTTTCGCCGATAACGAACGTACGCAATCGTGTTTTACCCCAACGGTTTACGTATTAAAGATTTTGTTGGATTAATTTATTCAAGATTTTACCGTTTTCTCAAATATTGATTCATTCAAGATATCGATGTTCAATGTCTTGAAGTTCAAGACATTGAAGGGCTCCCAACAATTTGACAGGAATTCGTGTTTAATTGTGAGTCTCAATATTTATAAAACCCAAAATCTTTGTGGCAGACAAACAGCCTTGATTCCTCTAAATTAGTAGATTAATATTAGTTGCTGGAAATAATTTTGCTGGTTTTTTATAATATAACGCTAAAATAAACAATTCGAATTAGATTTAAGTTGCATACAATCATATGCTATTCAAACAATATTTGTTTGAAAAATTATTTAAATAAACAATAAAAAATAAAAACAGCTATCGACACCTGGGACTTCTAAATAATGCAATGATACACATTAATCATTTGACTATTGCTTCAAATATTAATTGTAATAATATCCTTGTAGCAATCGGTTTATCATAAATATATTATTTTTGAATAACTATATTTTCAACCTTGTAAATATGATTAGTCCATTACATGCATATGAATAACAGAAATTCCATACAAATATACAAAAAATTATAATAACAAAAAAATAAAATAATAAAACGATCAATTAACATTGATGTATAGATTTAAATAATTAGCTATCTGGAATTATAAAAATAAATATAATTTACATTCTACAATAACATACACACATATGTATATCTAATATTTTGTATATAATTCATAAATAATTTATTCCTATCATACACAGATTAATGAACATAACATGAACATATGCTTCAAGCACGTGCTATATTAAAAACGATTAACTAAATATTATTATTAGAATTATTGAAATATTTATATGACATTTTCTACGCGGATACGTATTTAACTATGATTATAAATCAAAAATCAGACAGACCATCGAGTTTGAATTTTGAAAAATCTTTTATAGAGGAATTCAATGATTCATTAACAACGTTTTATATATTTATAATTCTTGTATTATTTTATATGTGTTCGTCTTATATTTACAATACTACGTACAATATATACGTGAACACAATTATTAACCAAACGAGTAATTTAATTAATCGAAATCATTTTAATAAAGTTTTGATTTCTATCTTTTTTTTTCATACGAAGACCGGTTATTCTAACATTTAATATCCATTTTTAAGTAATTGTAATCGAATAATATTTTTACACGACTTCAACAGTCATTAATGCATTAATTAAAGTACATTTAATGGACACCGAAAAGCTGTACCGGTACAACACAGAAAAAAAAAAAAATGAACAAATTCAGTGTTGTTTTCCATACTAATATAATGAGTCACATGATTTCATAAATAACTTTTTGCATGGATATTTATTTCTACATTCGTCATTATCATTACTGCTTACTATTAACACCGGCATAACATCAATAATAAAACAGTGTTATTATCTGAGATCGCCTAACGCGTATACCGCGGTCATTAATTATCCGATCTCATTTATTACGATTGGCATAACAAAGCACACATAGCAAACACATTGCTTTTGTATCTCATATGAAATTAAATTCGGTCAGTTACAGAACTTTTAACCCGTAGTTAAAAAAGATTTGTATATACTTGTAAGTAGAAAGAATAATAATAAAAGATGTGGAAATAGATTTTGAACGATGATACGAGTACAATTTTATAAATGCGTGGCTTGAGTTGATCACACATTTTTTTCGTACATTTGATTATAACGTTTAGCTGAACTCGAAGTCTCTACTCAAAAAAAAAGTACGACTATATAAAAAATAATAATACCAAGTCTCGAAAAATTTTCATAATCTTAAGTGCTATCGGTTACTACCGCGAAACCATAACTTGTAACATGTATTCGTCATAATAGAATAAAAAAAAATCCAGTTCTTTACTATAGTATTGTTTTTATTTTCAAGGACCTGCGGAAGATAACAAAATAAAAGCTAAAATAATGAACCATAAGTAGACGTCATAAGCAAAATAGTAAATATAGACATGTTTACAGACCCAATACATTTTTTTATTTCACTCAAAATCTAACAAAACAGGTTTAAAATTTAACATTCGATAAATAATTATTAACTATTATTATATAAATAAAAAACACACTACAACATTATTATGTGTGTGTAAATTATTATTATAAAATCATTATATTATTGGGTGTATAAATTAAGAAAAAACAAATTCAGTATTAAGTTAATAAATTAATATTTTTACTCAATTGCTCTAACAAAACATAATTTGCTCATTAACAACGTGCAATTAAATTTTATCTAGACTCTAATATTCTATAGTATAATCAAGTATTGGCTTGACCTATAAGTAGACTATGTATGCATTTACAAAGTTTATATTTTAATCTATTAACTATGCATGTACTTATTAGTTTAATTAAGTACTAAATAGATAAGTCATTCAATTTCAAAATAGATTCGACCACGCAACTGGCTACAATAGTAGAATAACAAAAAAAAAAATGTAATTTTCATTAACTACAAGTATAAATTGATTACGTTCACGATGATATTGACTTCAAAAGGTTATTGAGGTGCAATCATGTCATAAGTCATAAGAATTAGATATTTACAAGTGAATAGGTACAAAACACGATTTATACACAAGTATAATAACTTTTCTACACATTAAATTGAACGAGAAGTTAAAAATAAATAATAATAATAATAATAAGGAACAAAATTGACAAACTTTATACACATATTATATATAATATGTAAATGTGTACGTTATTAATAACAATTTAATGTTACTGTTGAACGAATTACATTTACAAAATAATGTATTTCTGATTAGAAACGAACCACTCAATAATAATTATCATAATTGTATTGACGCATAATAGTGCTACTATGTGTTTAAAAATATTAAAACGTACGTATTATCTATCAAAATCTTCTATCTAATAATAGTTCTAATCTTCACTAAATTTGATTTCTCGCATTCAAATCACTTATTAAAAAAAAAAAATAATAATAAATTATAATTATAAAATATACCCACAGCGAACCGATTTTTAAGTACAAATGAATCTCGTGACATGAATGGTTTTATGAACGTAACTACCACGGTAACAATGTATAGGACGGACCGAGCAATTATGGCACCAAACGGATGCCACATTAAAATGACCAAAAAAAAAAATCACATTTCAGTATATAAGTAATACGGCCAAGTACATTCGGAAGGGACGTTCCCGAATAAACCCAAACGGCTTTCATAATAATTATATCTATGTACATTGGAAATCGAAGAATATATTATTTTGGGAAGACTCGTTGTCTGCTGGCCGCGGTTGGCTGCATTGCTTCTCCTCCTCCGACTGATCGTACGACAGAAGTGATACTTCCACCGAGTCGGTGGAGGATAGCGACAATCATAGACACCTGGAGTCGAACAATTGTAATGACTTGGTGATTGCTTCGTCCTGTCAACACGATAGAACAATGATAAATTAATTATTATTAAAACCGAATAGTGTACGATTTTTTTCAAAAAATTAAAAATTTTAACGACAATAATTAATGCTCCATTAAAATGCAATTCAACCAATCGGTACTTTTCTGTTTTTGCGACTTCGGACCAATGGGGTATGACCAAATATTGTTAGATGAAGGTTGTAGGTTCACATTTAGTGTACAATTAATATTTGCCTATTTTGATTATAAATACATTTGACGTATCAATACATGTGTGGTCTATTCCTCAGTTTGAGCATATCAATTACAATAAAACGATTATGTTTTTTGTTCTACGATCAAACTTTCTGGTAGAAAATCTTCGGATAAAATATTTTTTACCATCACATCGGATCAGAATTATAAAGAAAAAAAATATGTTATTTCAAAAAGCAGTTTTCTAATTTATCCAGATCAGTGTTCTTTCAAAATAGAGGAAACATTGAAAAACGCTTTGGAAATAATAATAAAATATAGTCCGACAATAATTTGTGTTTTTTATTTATTTATTTATTTATTTATTTTTTTTTTTTTGTGCACATTTAATTTTATCATACGATGATATGCGTACTATCCCTAGCTATTTGAAAATTTGAAAATTAGAAAAGTTGAATCAATTTTTTTTTCTTTCAGTAAAATTTACTTTGAAAGTACAGTATACCTAACTAATTGTTAAAATATTTTTTGTGATTTTTTGTTATAATTTCAATCCTAATGAGATTTTTAATTTTTCGTACTTCGGAGTCATCGATAATGATAATATATATGAGATTTTTATACCAATAATCTTACCTTTAGACATGATTCTATGAATTCTTCAAACGTAATCACGCCATCTTGATTGATATCAAGTTTTTTGAAAACCATATCGGTTTGATCTTTGGATTTAACGGTTCCACGACCCTATCAAAAATGAAATATTGTAATTGAAGTATCGAGTACCTAAATTGTATTATGTGAAGGCTGAAAAGTTGAAAAACTAATGAGTCAGGTGTTTTCGAAAACCCCTAATGTATAAGAACTACAGTAATCAATTGGCTTCAACGTGAAAAATAGATGTTTTCTAAGTAGTTCTAATAGCTATAGAAAAATTCTTTCAAACTTCATTAATCTCTCAAGAATCTCGGAACAAAATTAAAATATAAAAAACACGTAATATTCATATTTTAAGCCGTTTTGGCCGTTAACTTTTTCCCACAAATAATTCGACCAAAAGTTTATGCTATATAAAAAAAAAAAAAATAGTCTCCAACAATTATTCATCTTATTTGTGTTTATTATGCTTATGCTAAACAAATTTGAAAATAAATATATAAAAAAAAAAACTTAAATTATATTTATGAACATCGTTTCTCTTATTAAATTTTATTGGACGGACGGGTTTTAAAACTATTATTTATCTGTTTATGATTTAAGTGCACAATAAAGTAATTGAAATACAATATTACAAAATAACATTCATAATTTTAAGGATCAACTTGTTCTAACGTCACGATGATATATAGTTTGTATATACTCTAACAATAGCATTTTTAAAACCGTTGTAAATATTTTTATTCTTTTGTTCTAATAATTTATGTAATAACAATAAACTAAATTGATTTTATTTATTTATAACTATTATTAACAATTAATAATTAACAAAAATAAGTAATAAATATCCATTTTTGCAATTTTAAATATAATACTATTAAATTTAAATTTCATAAAAAATTTGAATTTTTTGTGTTTCTATACACTAACCAAGTTGAAAAAATATTAAGTAATAGTCTATTATATTTATATTTTTGATCAATAATTAACATCTATATATAAACACTAAAAATTTAATATGTATTTAATTATATGATTATTTTTCTTACTTAATATCGACAATCACATACTATAAATAAATAATATTAAGACTTTATTTCCTTTAACTAAATATTATTGTACATTTTATCCATAGTAAACGCTATTTTCAATAAAGTAATTATGACTATTATTATAATTTTTTTTTTTTTTTTTAAATTAAGTTATATTTAATTTAATTAAAGTTTATGTATACTTTAATTGTTTATAACAATTGTACGCAAAGAGTACAATAAATCTTAACAATTTATCTCATCTTCGTAAAATTCATATATTTTAACAAGATTAATCGTTTAATTGTTTTTGTAAACTCGTTCTAAGTATTTGAACACTATTACTGTGCTTTCGTTAGTTGCAATATATTTTTTAAATGTTTAAAATTAAAATAGTTATTGAATAAATATTTTATTAAATTTCTTTGCACAAAATATTAATTAGATTAACTGCGAATAAGTTTCACAGAAATATATGTTCAAGTTTTTCTTTTGCTGCAACAATAATAAAGATTTCTCCGAACAGAAGCTTACTTTGAACTTAATTTGTTTAGTTAACTTTACACCACAACTATATATCTCTTTTAAAAATGATACATGTGAACATAAACTATCCAAAAAGTTTTGCAGTCGAACTCGATAGTGATCTGATATCTTGCCAACAACATAATAAATGGGAATGTCATCAACCTAGTAAAATTTAACAATAGTTTACATTTTTGTTCTGTAAGTAACTTATTTTTGGTTTTATTCCAGTCGTAATATTTTACATTTTATCGTTTGAAATATGCAAATAAAATAAGAATATACATATTAAAATAATACGTTGAATATAATGCATAAAAAATACATTAGAAAATGAAAATAAATTAAATTTGACAGTTTATCATGGAACATCATGTTATTATTTTCAGGTATTTCATAAAAAATTGAATTTATGTTCATCGAATTATTATAACATAATTTTTTACAAAAATGTTAGTTTTCATCATAAATAAGTACAAACCAAAAAATAGTTTATTCTATTTAAATAAATCAATTAAATTTTGATGGCGTTAAAAAATTAAAGTAATACTAAACAGTTCAAAAACTTTCAATCAAATCGAAGTAAAACGCGTTATTGTTCTGTGAAATTTTTTTTAGTGTAAAGCTAGACTGCTTTTAGGCGTGTCTAACTCACGGCTTGTAACATCGGGTTAGAAATCCTTACCGTGACTGTTGAATTTTCCCCAACCAACAGTACGTATTCGAAACTGTTAACAGTTATTGATTTACGAAATTTATTTGAACGCGTTTCGGATATAATGCATCAACGTAACGACCGTCGTTAAACCGCGAACCCTTGGATCGCCGCCGACACGTTGCAGCACATCATCCGGTACCCAGCGTACAATATTGCTTTACGCTCGCTGATTGGAAGAAGTAGCAGGAGACACGTCCACCGTGAAGATTACGCAAATAGATTATAATGTATTATGATAATATATTATACTATATTAAGAAAATACTTGTTGCATATCATTTTATGCGTAACGTAAAAATTGGAGCGAATATAAAAAGAGTTCAGGAAGTCAGCTGACTCACAGTTAATATTTGTTGACAAAATTGGTCTCTTGAAGAATTTTTACATTTTTTAAGTGAATCGACTATAGGTTGAAGTAAATACCAGATCGGAGCATATGTCCCAGTTACTGACCACCTCCACGAATAAAGCCACTGGTTTGATTGCATAGTACAGTAAAACATCTTTACGCAGGATGCCACGCAAGACGGAATCTTTCATAAAATAAAATTAATGTTACTTTTTCAAAATTATAACTATGAATAAATTTAAAAATTCATATTATATAATCATATTGTGTTTTTTTTTTTACAAGGTTTATATTTATATTGCAGTTTCAGCTTCTTGAAATAGCATGACTCACAGTTATCTAACTGTAGATCCACCCCTGTGTATAAACACGATAGTTTAAACATTCGTTCATACTTGCGGTCTCTTGCCCATCAGCTCATGGATAGCCAACACGATTTGGCCGAGCTCCGACCTCGTTATGCATCCATCACCGTTCAGATCATAAAGCTTGAACGTCCATCGGAGCTTTTCGTAAATGGATCCGCGGAGTAGTGTGGACAGAGTCATCAGCATGTCCTGCACAATTAGTTACGGTAAAACAGCAGTAATAAAATACATTATTCCAAATACCAGAGCTACATGCTCGGTGAACTATTTTTATAAAATAATATTACTTTTTTGTTATTTGTTTGAAAACAATCCGGAGTGGGAAAAATTTATTTTTTCAGGAAATAAAATTTTACATTTCAACTCATTTCGTTTTATTAAAAAAATAAAAAAATATTAATAATATCAAGATTACGTTATACTATTCTATAAAAAAGTTTCACACCAGGAATTTTGAAAACTCATCATCTCACCCACACGATCGATAGTCTTAACGCTTTTGAACACTGGAAAAGGGAAAGCCATGAAGAGAGGCTAAACTTTCAGCAGCTATAATACTGGAATTGCTTAACGCAAGAAAACGAATGGCATTTTGAAACATTCGGAACACAATGAAATCCTAAACAAAATATATGAAACTGTTCGACTTTCGTCCGCTTTTTGTCATCCTTCAAAGAACGCCGATTTATTAAATTTATGTTTTGGAAAATTCCGAACGGAGTGTATATGTTATATTTGAATGATTTTATTTACGTCGTAATAAACACCAATATTACGTCTGATAAAAGAAAAATGGAACACATACTCATATTTATCCTATAAAAATGTACTTGTCAATTGTAGAGAGATATAGAGTTGAAGTTGAATCCATAGCCAAGCTAAGTTGCACTAGAAGTATGTTTACTCTGTAAAGAAATTTACCCTGAACAGAGTAGTTATAGAGAGTGCATAGAGGAAATCTACCTGCATAAGTATATGGCCCGTGCACATTTATAGAATATATTTCTTTCGGTAGACTGAATGGGCACAGTACTGATCGCGTTCTCATAACCTATAATTCATAGGCAATACTTTCGTTTTACAAATCGTGTTGAAACACAAACGTTTTTGCCATAGTTGTAATGTGCTTTTTGATTAAAAAAAAAAAAATAAATAAAAGAACAAAAGAACTGTGGATAAGAAATTAGATATCAGAAAAAAATTATGAAAAGGGGAAACGTTACGTTTTTGAAAGAAATTGATATAACAGACTCTAGTACGTATGAAAATTGTCAATTTCTCCAGAAATAAATCCCCAGAAATGATTACGATAATATTATAGAACAAATAATACCATAAATAAAATAAATAATAATCCATTCTTCATATTCTTTACTCTTCTTAAATCTGACGTCAAAGATTATGTAATTTCGATTGCAACACTGAGTATAGAGCGTTAATTACTAGATTACTCTAAATACTGTGTACACTTACAGACTATTTATAAATAGCTCTACGTAGAGTATATCTGCGAGAAATAAATTCTATAGTGTACAGGTGCCTGAAAAACCAACGTGCCTAGTAAACAATTGGATATATTCGTGAATGACCGTTGATTAGTTTCGGTTGGAGAATATACTTGGAAGATTAAAATCAAGTTACTCGTTAAAACTCTCAACATTCTTCAACGGTATTGTTTTTAACGTGTACTTTCAAAAATAAATGCTTAAAAATATTTTTTTTTTCAACAGTATCCACATGAAGATTTAAACGTAAAAGAAGCAACCACGAAATCATAGTAAGTTTGGATAATATTAAACACCGTTTCACTTATACACCGTTTAGAGTAATAATGAATATTATTGAATGATATCAATTTAATTTAATTTAACATTAATGAAATTAATGATAAAATAAATATGTCTTTGTGCGTTTACAATTACATTTAAGGTTAAACAGTGCTCGCATTGGGAAAAATTAAGTAGAGGAGCTCAGTCCAACGAATCGAAAACTGCGTTCCACGTGCGCAATTACTTAGCACAGACCCGTAGTGGGCTTCGCCCTTCACCCCTGCCCTCCGCCAACCTTACATATATTTTGAATACCACATTTCAGCTAAACAAATATTTTAATTCCAAATATAATATATTTTGATAGCAATACCAACATCCTACATGTTACAATAGAAAATAAAAATAAAATAATAATTAACATAATTGTAGGCGATCAGGCAGTTTCGTGAATTGAATGATATAATCATATATTTGGTTTTTGTTTTTATCTATTTTAACTCTTTAGTGCGGGCCACGGCCGAAGATTAGTCGTGCGGGCATTTATTTTTTTCTGAAATTCCGATATCGTCGGTCGCCAATATTAATAACAAACCGTACAATGTATTAAGTATAATATACCAAATTCACAGACATTGCTAATTATTTTTTTCCAGAAATGACGACGTTAACCCTTATCATAACCATCATATAATCTTTAATTATGACAATAGTTTTGATATTATAAATCGTAAAATTCGTTTTCAAATTGACGTTAATTGAAATTTACATAAAAATTATTTTGGACATCAATTAGGATGAACGTGGCGTCTCCCCGTTCCGGTGAAAAAATATAGTTGGGGTACGTAAAAAAAAAAATTCTAGAGGAGCTCCGTCCCCCTGCGTACCCCCCAAATCGAGCACTGAGGTTAAATAAAATAATATATACGAGACTAATGAACGCTATTTCATTAAGAAAAATAAATTTTTTCTATAGATAAATTGTCACAAATTAAATTTTTATCATTTAAATAAAAGTTTCTTTCGAAACTTATATAATAATTAGATTTGAAATACCGGAAAGTTAAACACATTTTCCGTATTTGTAATTTAACTCAAAGAACCAAAAAACAAGTAGGTAAGGTTGACGCAATTAAATAGTTACCGTTCTAGTGGGTAAAATAACTTTTATGTTATAAACTACGTATACTAAAAATGTAATGTGAATTTCCTTAAACAATTGAGATAACGACATTCAAAACAAATACCATTTGTTTCAAAGAAAAAATCCACATTTGTTTCATGCGTCATATCTATGTGATTAATATTATTTTGTAAGAAAATATATTGTATGTTGTAAATATTTTTACTTTCATGTAGATTTCAATATATTATCATCCGTTCAAATTAAACTTGTAGATTATGTAGACTAAAATATCTTCGGAAAAACTGTATTATAGTAACTGTTCTAAATGTACCTATATATTTTATTTATATTAAAAAAATGACAGAATATTGCAAAATATATTAAAATATATAATTTAAATTATTCGCAAAGATGCACAGTATTATACGTATTTTTCGTGACGTAGCATATTTTTTTTAATATAAATTACATTTATTCATTATAATACGGATTCTTAAAATAATTTAGTAAATATAAAGAAAAAAAACGTATCAAGCAATTTAATTTGAAATTATTGGACACTGAACTGTGCTATATCCATTCAACGCACATGTAACTCCATAATTTCAATATTTGTTATTTTAATTTAGTAAGCATAAGCTTAAAGAAAAAGAGATTCTACTCAGTATACGAAGTATTATATTTTTAATTTTCTTTATTGTTAACTGTGTAATACAATAACAATCTGCACGTGTAATATCCATCAGCGTACTATTATTAAGACTAGATAATATATGAAAATGGCTTCCATAAGATGGATAATATTAAACACTTTTATGAATTCCTTTATAATTTAATATTCTTATCGTTGGCTTGTTAAGCATGTAATATGATATACAGAGAATGTTAACATGTTAACATAGAATGCTATTCTTGTATTTTAATATTCAAGCACGTAGCGTGTAGCTTACTTTAAAACTAATTGCGCCGTTACTCTTGACATCAAATGCTTTGAACACAAAATGAGCATATAAATTCGAGTCTAAAAATAAATATAAATCCATACGTGAGTGTATAACATTAAATTTATTCAAATTTAGAACGTATAAACAAATTCAAGAATAGTACGAAAATTCAATTTTTACTATTCACAACTATACATCGAAAAAGTTTAAGTAATTTTTTATAAATTTCACTCTACGTATATGTATGATACATTTTATATAAGAATTCAATTTTGGAGAAGTATATATTCCATTTTATCGATAGATTTGAATTTGTTCTTAAAACGTTCAAAATAAATCTATATTATTGTACAAATAAAAATCAAATACATACTTCCATGTGGAAAAAACTTAGAATAGATATCTTTAAACAGATCTTCGTGCACAACTCCTTCTGGACATTTCTGAAACAATCATGTACATTTTATGACAAAATTATAATTATAAGTTATTTATAACACATGAAATAATTATTATTCGGAATAAATTCAAAACTACATTTTCTTGACATCAACTCTTATGCTTAATAATCTGAGACATTGTTCAACTAAAGAAATTAGTATTATAGTATTTTGTAAACTATCAAATTAAAAATACATTTAAATGATATCATCGGGTATTTAAGACTGTAAGCTGCGGACATCAATTTTCCGCAAAAAAAAAGACAAAGAAATTACGCTATTGGTAACATTTACATAAGTTTAAAGCACTTAAAAAAGTATAATTTTTCATTTTATTTAGAACCTTAATTTAAATATAAATATTGTTAAATTTGTCCACGTTGCATTTTTTTATCAACTTAAGCTGATGAAATATATTTTAAATATTTAAATTTATTGGGTGACAATTCAATCATTTTAAGTACATTATATGAGTATATATTAAAAATAAAAATAATTATTTAATTTAATTTTGGTAATCGCATTATTGTAGACATGTGAAGTGTAAAATACTTTTGTATTGTTAAAAATTCAATGCTCACACGAAAGGTGATTATTATGATTTTACAAAGTGTTTACAAAAACACGAAATCAATACATATGAAATTTGTAAAGTATGAATATTGGTATAATTAATCACCTCGAGGAATCAAAAGATTTACGAATATTTTGTTGCCAAAGGCTCTCATCTATATGCAGAGAATGATTAAACAAACATAATGTAACGCGATAACAAACAAATTATTCAATGAACCATTATTGGATAGCGTCCAAAAATCCAAAAAACAACGATCACATGTTCATGTTGCTTGAACTTTATCATTGTCTTAAATCAACGATGAATGAATTAGTATGCGACGCGCAAGGGAAACGTTATTTTTACAACGTTCAATAAAGATTTATCAAGTTTTCTTGTAAACTTAAAATTATAAAACATTAATGTTGGCACAAGCGAATGTTCTAATGCCATTTATAACGACAGTTGAATCGGGACGACGACCTATTGTTGAGCGCACGAAAATTAGTCACGATTATATTCCCCCGTAGTTAATTAATATCAATTGGTGTACATAATCGTCTTGGACGAAATATTTTTGGATATGATTCGAGTCTTGGTCGTGTAAAAATTGAGAGAAAAACAATAAGTAAAAATATTAATTACACTGCCAATTTCGTTTATTTAATACTCTAATTGTAAATTAACGTTAACGTATAGAAAACCACCCTTCTCCAGAGCTCAATAACGGTCATTAAGTTTCTCGCAACAAGTTGAAATCGGTAAGATCAAAAATACTACGCGTGTTGGCGACCTGCCATTTAAAAATAAAATTAAAACTCGACTGGACGATAACGTCGACACGTATGTACCACAATTGCCTATCAGAAACGCCGTACGACGCGGACGCATTATAAATTACTTGCACAAAATAAAAATAAATAAATTATAATGAAACATTTTCGATCGTCAAACTGTCACGTCTTATTAAATGTAGCCACAATCGAATCTTATTAGAATATAAAATTGTAATATTTAATTTTTTATACAATATTATTGTTTCGATAAGATGTTCAGATTTCGAGTTTCCTAGCAAAAATAAAAAATTCACATGTAAATATATATTATGCAAATATTTAAATGAATAATATATGCGAATATGTAGATATTTGTGTGTATATTTATGAATATTTTCGTTTTCATTGTACACTTTCCTAGTAACATTTATTTAAACAAAACGTATAGCTATCACGATCTAGTGTCTCATTACATATTAGCAGTAAAACCGGTCAATTATATTTACACGGCGCCTCCTGTATTCGGCGCGGAAAACTGCACTGATTAACCACAACGAACACGGTATAAGAATCAATATAGATGTCGCTCATGGAGGAGTAAACTTAACCAAACATGCCGCCCAATATTAAATAAATCTATATAAATTAATAAATTCATTTATATCAACAATTAATTCACAATGTAATAACTATAAAATATCAAAAGACTTTAAAAAACAAACAAAGATCAAAAGCAACACGAATAAGGAAACAATTCACCAGAGCAAATTAGAAATACTACAACACCGAGGACCACATAAAGATTATAAAGACGTTATTTCTAGAATTAATAACACAAATATTATCATTATGGCCCATGAGAATCAATATTTTACCCCAGCATAAATTGTATGTACTATCATGTATATTGTATATATCTCAAAGTTGTTCATAGTACCTATTGGCTATTAATAATTTATTATCGAACGTTTCAAGAAAAATTATTATTATTCTCGTTATGGTGCGGGTAACGTGGAATATTGTGGAAGTGTCACACCGCGCCGCGTCATTCAAATATATAAATGTATACAACTGCCAATAAAATACTCGCTCATTATAATCTTGATTTATATTAATTATAGTTTATCTATACATTATTTTGGGAAAACGAAGATTGGAAATGAAATGTGCACTTCTAATTTCTATCCATTCTTGTCGATGATGCAGGTAAGCAGTAATACTTGGAAAATAGTCGATTAGCAAGGCCAGATAGCAAGTTATTTCCACGTACAATTCTTTGTAAAAATAATTAATATTTAATAATGAGATAAACAAGAGTATAGTATAGTGTAGTATATATATATATATATATATATATACCTAATATACCTATACTAAAATATAAATTGACTATAGTCATGGTGCAATATTTTTTTAGTTTGAATCGTTTGTCCACTCTATTATATTATGCTATACTTGGGGTCTTGTATGGTAGAATAAAAAATAGATCCGCAGTCTGGTTCGGTCCGGTCTATAAACTTTTATAATTCGAAATTTATTAGCTCGGACCGACGGTTCACTCTAACAAATTATTTTAAATTTTCAGTCCGGTCCGGTCTAAGATTAAACATAGCAATCGGTTCGGTCCGACTTCGGTCCTTTTTTAACATTTCAGTCTGATCCGGATTCTAAAATTACGGACCATGCAGAGCACTACCGGACGGTATTAAAAATATAGCCATACACGGTTAGGTGCAATATATCTATTGACTCCGCGTTCCCAGATATATCAAATAGTGAATATACCACATTTATATATCTGGGGAAACCAGTAGATGCCCTCCCTATTCTCCCGTATTTAATACGAAGAAGTATATAAAAAGAAGTCACCAGCTGACAAGTATCATCAGCCATTTCAAAAGGATCAAAGTGCCACTATTCATGCAATACATCACAACAAGTCACAATTACAGGTACGTTTCCCTGGCACCACAATATTGAAAAATCCATAATTATTTTACACTATTAATTGTATCGTAATTTGTACCAATTTGTACCAACGGATTTCCCACGGAAAAATCGATTTCTCTTTAGGGGTGCCTAATTAATTATAATTAATTATAAACCCCTTTAGGGGTGTATAATATTATTGTATTGATTCAGATAATCGACTTAGTACATCTCTTTGTAACATTTTACACAGATAAATTAATCGTTAGTTAATAAATATAAAACCGTACCTATTGTAAAACGTATAAATAATTTTAATCAATATGATTAGAATTTTTTAAACATGCGATAAACGTCGTCGGGGGCTAAATGATAACGCGTTGTATAAGTCATATCATGTTTTTATTTTAAACAGCTGACGTTCATATAATTTATATAAAAATCAGTTTTCTACCAATAATTTTATTTAAAATCTTTTAAAAAACATTTCAACTATAGAAATTCCTTCAAATCGTACACGAAGCACAATTATTGCAATAGAATTATCATAGAAAGTAATACCTAGTAGTAACGTCAAATCCTTGATTGATAAATGATCACAAGTTCAATCAAATATATAATTAATAACTTAACAAAATATGTGCCTATTTTAGCGTACAATAATATTGTTGGTAATATTTATTATACTGTATAATGTTATATATTTCATAACAGGTAATGCTATTTGCGAGTTTTCAACTTACAAAATATTATTTACGTTCATATAAATCCTGATTTTGTTGTTCTACGAGTCCAAAATTTTTATGTTAATACGATTTTATTTAATTAGTAAAAAAAAACACACACTCACATAATACAATATAATAAAGTAAAATATCTTATTCAATTTTCCGTGGAAAAAGTTTCCCTGGCACCCGTAAAGAGAAGTCAATTTTTCTGTAGCAAATTCGTTGGTAAAAATTCTGAAATGAGTGGTACGAATTGATACAAATTATGGTACAATTAATGGCATAAAAAAATTATAGATTTTTCGATATTGTGGTGCCAGGGAAACGTACCTCATAATCACTGTAAGTTTTATGTACAAAAGACCCACCACTTTATGTCAAACCCTGTATGTCAGTATATAAACTATTTTAATTGTAGGTACAGTAAAGTACATTTACTTATATAATAGAAAATATTGTAACTATCAATAAAAAATAAATATATGGGTTGATTTTACAATAAAAGTTAACCCGTCAGTAGGCACGTTAGTATTTGTAACACGGTTAGGCGCGTATGAGCGCCGCGCTCACTTTTCAAATTTTTACTACTAAAAGTGTTTATTTGAACTGTAAGTGAGGATTCCAATATAAATAATTAATTAGGATCACTATAAATAATTATTATTAGATTGTTTATATTAATGATACCGAAAACAACAGAATTAGATCCATTACACATACTATATACATATAACCTAAAATAAAGATGTCGAACATATAGATATTACAATATTATAGTTCATACTATAAAAGCAACAGCAACATTGGGTATCCACAAGAGACTGCATATATATTTTTCTTAAATAAAGAATAATTTTAATAAGCTACCCTATCAGATGTTCCGCCATGCTCTGATAAAATTACCGTAGTTTTCATTTCAAAAATATCATAATTATTAATGACTATTTTTTCTTACAAAACCGTAAAAAATATAGTATTTACTATTTATTTTTTTTTTCGATATTTTCAAACGGA